TTCTCCTTCTCTCTGCAATGCTGTTGTTCTGCGTAGGTTTTTTTCCCTTAGTAGGCTCTTACGTCACACACGGGATGAATAGGGGTGGTGAAACTCTGTATTCTTAATAAAACACCACACGGTTTTTGTTTATTATATATGAAAATATAATTGGTAAACATACTTAAAGGAGGTTCTCAATTCACCTGTGGTTGTTTTTTAGCCCTCCCAATCCTATACTGCTTATTCCCATGATGGAAATCAAATTGAGGTATATACAGAATAAAGATTACAAATTACCTATAACAATTCTTCATTATGTAGTCGCACTGAAGTCGGTAATACGTTTTTTAAAGGTAATGATTACAAAATATAGAAAATCTCGGAGAGAAAACAAACCCAAGGAACTGTGTTCCCCCTTAACATATTTAAAAAAAATGATGATTAGGTTTGTGTACCAACCCGTCTGGCCAGTGTGGTATAGTAGGCCGAAGCCTTCTTTGTAAGGAGAGGCCTATGTCCAGCAGTGGACTATTAAAGGCTGTTGATGTGATGATGATGTGACGCTTCAAAATCTTAAAAAGTTCTGCACAGATTGACCTCAAACTTGGACACAAAATACAACCCACCTTAGTTTTATTCCTCATTTCAATGTGCCGCAAGGTACAGCTGGTTGGAAATAATAAAACACATCTAGACATTCTAAAGTCTATGGTAGAGTTACTCAGTATTATGTGTAAGTGAACATGGCTCACATATGGTCACAATAGAGTGACGCTCCATTGTCGGCGCGCACTCGACGAGCCAATGTTTTGATAAAGCCATTACAATGGCTCAAGTGACACTCTTCAATGAATTACTAATTAAATCGGAAAGAAAAATGTAAGAATTTACTACACGACTTAAATAAAAACAGTAGCGAAAATAAAGGTTCTTATTCTTCCTAACTTACCACCCACTTTCAACATATGTCGTAGGCTGATTTTATGTGTAGCTCCGTACGCGTCAATTTGAGTGACAAATCATGATTTTCAAAAAATGACTTAAAGATCTCAGTATCAAACACAAATATCTAAATTTGTATAAGGTATAAGGGGGCAAACGAGCAGACGGGTCATCTGATGGTAAGCAACTACCGCCGCCCATGGACACCTGCAACTCAAAAGTCACAAGTGCGTTGCCGCCCTTGCAGTCCCTCCCGTTGAGTCAGCGAAAGGGAGGATTTGGGCTCCGGTAACCCTACTCACTCAGTGAAAGGCAACGAAAGAATTGCTTCACACCGATTTTCTGCCTACTATAAAGTTTATATTTATAGTATACGTTTAATATATTTTTTAAGATAATTACAATTAATGATTCACCTTATTTTTGTCAGTAGGTATACAAATACATAACTATGTAGGTACGTCATCGTGTTACATCCAAAAATATCCACTTTAATTAATTTCTATTTCATTATCAACCCTCCAGTTATGTCTGTTCCAATCAACTTTAATAACTTAAAAAGTCCCAAGTTAAAACAATACAGACGTACTGACATACATTTGAATAGCAGTTGGCGTCAACAGGGTGACTGGGGGATGTTGGTTTTATTTAGAATAAATAAAGACAGTTCTATACAAGAGTAGTGTTGAAGGTTGTATTTGTTTAGTCTCGCCTTTATTAATTAATAACACAGTAATTAACTAAGTACGTACGTTCTAGATATTTATTTAGGCACATACAAGTGTATGATGAAAATAACTCCCATTATACATGGAACAAAAATATTAACATGAGCTGTTTTTTCAATACTACGGAGACTCAAACTATCCTTATACCAGTCCGTGTTGTGACGGATTAAGAATACGGAATGTCACTACCCCTATTCATCCCGTGGGTGTCGTAAGAGCCGACTAAGGGAGCAAACTACGCAGGATAACAGCACAGCAAAGAGAAGGAAAACTTGAAACAAACCCTATACCAACCCGTCTGGCCAGCGTGGTATAGTAGGCCAATACCTCCTTTCTAAGGAGAGGCCTATGTCCAGCAGTGGACTATTATAGGCTGTTGATGTGATTGATGTGATCCTTATACTAAATCTCGTCTAAATCGGTTCAGTGGTTTAAGCGTGAGGAGATAACAGACAGACAGACAGACACACTTTCGCATTTATAATATTAGTATGGAAATATGGATATAATTGATTTTGATATCTATACACGTGGTTAGGACAATATCTATTTATATATTTGCGTATGCTTGTCTATTATACGGTTAGTTTTCAGCTAATATGTCATTCCATATATATTTTTTTTTTTATCTCCAGACTCTGCATCGCCATATTATTTCACTGGTCAAGAATGCTTTAAGAATAAATTACGTATTTTTAACCAGAAAAATGAAAAACTAATCAATGATTTTCGACTCATAATCATGGTCTGAATACACTATTTCAGTATTCGGTACGATATCCCTTACACCCTGTATATGTATTAATGTGCTTATCACAAATTTGACCGTGAGTAAGGCGTCTTTTAATAAATTTGTTTGTTCTTGAACTTTCTAGTCAAATTTACACTAGCAAGTAACATTGTAAATATATTTACTTGAAACGTCATCATTGACTACACAGATGTCGTAGTGGTTTAAGCGGTCACCTCGCCGCTTCCTACTGCACTGTGTTGTGGGTTCGTTTATTTTTTTTTATTTTAAAAAGGCAACTCCCGCATTAGGAATATATCCTGTGTCGCGGGGGACTTTACAAACATACAAGAAATGGACACAAAGAACATACGAAGAAACATAAGAATTTTGGGGGTCGACGAGGTCTAAAAATCGACCCGTATTAATTAAAACAAGTTCCTAATTGAAACTTTCAAAATATTGTATTAGTTGTGTTACGTGTACCAACTTGTATAAGAATGACTAATATTTTAGTAGGAAGTATCGTGGTTGTACTGTAAAAAAAACTGAACTAGACGATAAGCGTGCAGTAATTTGGCTATGGGAGTCTGAGGTATCAGTTTATTTTAGAAAAGGGGTCTCTTGCCCAAACTAGTTTGAGAATCCCTGCACTAGACCAACAGTCAAGTCAACAATACATTGAACTAAATTCTAACAGTATTTAAACAAAACATCTTCACACTACCGTCAAAATACGGGTGCGCTTTTTAAATAATATTTTCCTTCGTAAAAATACAACACAAGTGTCTCTGCCCCACTTGGTCCGTTTTTTGCCGACCCCCCTCTCCAAATTAAAGGGGGTTGCCTCCCGACGCATTAGACAAATTAGATTATACTCCACCTTAATGGATAGAGTGGTACTATATGTCATAACATCACAGTGGAAGATGTTTTAATAATATCGTACGTGGCGTATTTTGCACACAAAAAAAACTAAATAACTGTAAAACTATATACATAAGGTTATTTTTCCCACTTTGCTATCGTTAATGTAGTTTTTTAACCGACTACAAAAAAGGAGAATGTTCTTAATTTAGTTGTATGTTTTTCTTTTTTGTTTGTTACCTCAAAACTCTGCCATTCAAATTTAAATAAAAAAGTCTACCCCTAAGAATGAAAATTAAGGAATGAAGAATATAGTTTATACAATTTATCACGATGTCTCATCCATTGAAGTCGGGTATAGTTTTTTAGGTTAATTATAATAGTAATAATATTCTACCAAATTCACACAATGCCATTTAGTCCCAAACTAAGCAGAGCTTGTACTATGGGTACTAGAACAACTGATATAAATACATATACACATATTATACATGGAAACACCCAGACCAAATCAATCATTAAATGTTCATGCGCACAAATGTTTCACTTGAGCGGGGATCGAACCCGAGACCTTTGGAACAGCAGTCCGTTACACAAACCACTACACCATCCGATCGCCTGTTATGTCAATCAATAAACTGTTAATCAATAAGTTCTAACGTAATACTAACACAATAAAATATATTTTTCTATGGCCCGGGAGCGGTTTTTATTGGAGGAAAAATTCTGTGTGACCTTCAATGGATACCTGTTAACATGTACGCAAAATTTCAGCGTCAGTGCAGTATTCTGTGTACATGGAATATATCATCGTGGAAGTGGCAACAGGAATCGAACAGAATACAACACAAGCGTCTCGGACTAAATATTCCATTCTGTGTAAAATACTCATGATTTAAAGACGTGGATAAGTAATGGACTACTTTGTGGAACAAGTTATGCATAAAAAATAATTTAAGAAATTATATTAAATTTTTATCGCCATCCCCTAGATAGTTAGTGCTCCAGTACTATGCGCTTTTCGAGACACTTTCTGCAACCAATCTGTGGAACGGGTTATCGTCTGCGGTATTTCCGGACTGATACGACCTTCAAGCGTTTAAGAAAAGAGCGTACTCCTTCCTAAAAGTCCGCCAACGCGTTTGTGACACTTTCCATTAGGTGACCCGTTTGCTTGTCTGCCCCTTCTGACATAAAAAAAATGGCCCTTATAGGATATGCCGCTTCCTACTTATAAACAACTACACAACACACAAATAGCGCTATGTCGATATATATAGGCACATTTAAACCGGCTGTACAACTCATTTCATTTTGATACTTTCAACTATTATTTTCTATTATTTGCTTTCGTACGTGTACACTTTGTAGTATTTTTTTTATTTTCTAGTGATCTGTTATGTTTATCTTACATTTCCACCTTAAAAATTCCATGTCAAGCGATCGCCTGAAACACAGGTTTACCCTAGTTCAGGCAGGCAGCGACTAAAGTTCTTAACAAAATCTTAATATCTTTATGTGTAGAAAATCATACAATATGAATCATACTACACAGTCATAAGAATAAAATAACACTACTATAAATTTACCTACGCTAGTGTAATTTAGTTTAATTATTGTCTAAGATCTATGTTAAACTGAAATGTCCTACACTGTAATATTTATATTGGTCAAATAAAAATTATTATATTATTATTAACTTTATTTTTTCGCTGCAAGAGTTGATAATTGCATATAACCTATACTCTTACCTGATGAGTGTGTGAGCCCTGGCTCGTAGTGTGGTGAGCACTTCTATCTCGTCTGCTGCCACGTCCTTGCTTTCTTCGTACAGCCTGGTAGAACACAACACTGAGTCCAGCGCTATTGACAGGCAGTCACCCAGCTGCTTGGCTAATTCCATTTCTTTTGGGTCTGATTGTAGATCTTTGTCCTGAGGACAAAACAGTAGTTAGTAGGGTAGATGAGAGTCAAGTCGAATTCTTCTTCTAACTTCTAGATATTGATATGAGAAGAAAATTATTTGTAACTCTTTTTAGGAAATATAGCACAAGACAGCATATCATTACTGCACGGATGGCGTAGTGGTTTAAGCGGTCGCCACGCCGCTTCCTAATACGCCGAGTGTTGTGGGTTCAAACCCCACATGGGACGACACTTTGTGTGACCCACAAATTGTTGTTCTGAGTCTGGGTGTTCTTTGTGTCCGTTTCATGTATGTTTGTAAAGTCCCCCGCGACACAGGACACATTTCTAATGCCTTTAAAAAAATATATATGTGAGTGTGTTTGTTTGTTCATTAGTTTGTTACCTTTCACGCCTAAACCACTAAGCCGATTTTAAAAATTCTTTCACCGATGGAAAGGTACATTATCAGCGAGTAACATGGGCTGCTTTTTACCGCGATAACCGACAAACACGCGGATAAATGTCAAAGTTAGTTTTTTTTCTGAATCTTCGACCCTTAGACGTGGTACTTTTTCTTAAAAGCTGTATAGGAGCAAACAGTAAATGTCTATACTCTCGGTTTGGTCCCAACTAAAAATAAAAACCGGTCAGGTACGAGTCGAACTCGTGCGCCGAGGGTTCCGTACGTACCCAGATTTTGCGTAGATTTTCGCTAAAATTTGTAAGTACTAATATTTATCTTAATTTACAACTTTTTTTTTAGGTCAACGGGTACTATTTGATTGCCTAATACTCGTGTTATAATTTACTTGCGTGCGAAAATGTGATTATTATCAAATTATTATTATTATTGTCTTTTTTAAATTTTTTTTTAGCCATATTATCTAAATTAAATTATAAATGAGATTTAATTTTAGTATTGTTATTGAATGATTTGAAAACTGTAAAAATGTAATTTCTATGGGTATTTACCTGAAATAAATGATGATCATTATTATTATTATTGTATAGGTTTTCGACCCAAAACCTACAACCCTATAGGTTTTGGGTTCTAGGTCAACCGGAAGTGGGTACTTCCGGTTGACCTAGAATTGTCAATTTTGATTAAAAGCAAGGTCTTACGGCACAAGTAAAGAGAAAATTCTGAAAAATAAAAATAGTTGAAAATGTTCAGTATCAGGGTATAAATTTCAACTTGCTAGGTCCACCCGTTCCTGAGAAAATCGGTTTTGACACACGGACAGACGAACAAGATAGTGATCTTATAAGGGTTCCTTTTTTACCTTTTGAGGTACGAAACCCTAGCAATAACAAATACAAAAATACACAAAAAAATACGTTACTACAGGGCCTCAATTCTGCTACTTAATGTTCACGCCAAGCCACTGACATACCACCATTTCTTTTAATAATTTATTATAATAAAAATAAATAAACCATTTCCTGAAAAAACGTAATATATTTTCAACTACTGATATTTATACCGATGCCAATGGCCACTCGATGGCATCTCAATAGCGTGTCAGTGGTATGATAGTGGCTTGGCGTGAACATAAAATAGCAGAATTGAGGCCCTGTTCTGCAGTAACAAATATGAAAAAATACAACCCAACTGAAAATCTCTTTTCTTTTTAAAGCCCGCATAAAGAAAGAGTTTTCATGATGTAAAACGTAATTATGATTAAAACAGTTTCATCTTTACTTAATTGGATAAGATATACTTAATTGGATATGTCTGTATGTGTATTTATCTAATTTTACCTCTTTTATATTCATTAGTAATTAATCTGTCAAAACTCATTGCCCCTTAAACTACCACTGTCTCTTCGGAACATTTTGATCCATTCTAAGGTTGCCTGGAAGAGATTGCTCTCAGCAATAAGGCCATTTGTACATTACATGTTTGACAATTTGATGTACCACATCAACTGCCTGTAATAGTCCACTGCTGGACATAAGCCTCTCCTTAGATAGGAGGTTTTGGCCTACTATACCACGTTGGCCAGACGGGTTGGTATAGGGTTTGTGTCAAGTTTTCCTTCTCTCTGCAGTGCTGTTGTTTTGCGTAGTTTGTCAGCTTCAGCCTTCCTTAGTCGGCTCTTACGACACCCACGGGATGAATAGGGGTGGTGACACTCCGTATTCTTAATCCGTCACCATACTACTTGTGAAACGGTATACAAATAAAGAGTTTTCTATCTATCTATGTATCTATAACTAAAAATTAAGTACGTAATCATAAAATAAATGCATAATAAGGAATTTCACAAATTAGGGCAAATATTTTTTTTGAGGTAGGCAATACTGGCCTGTTGGTCTAGTAATTAGTGATCCTCATTGCTAACACAGAGGTCGTGGGTTCGATTCCCACCCAGTATAAATAAATGTGTTATGAGCACGTTCATCTGTTCTATGTCTGGGTGTAAGTTATCTTCATTATGTGTGTATTAAGAAATATATACCTAAGTATTTGTATCAGCAGTCTGGTTACCATAGCACAGGCTCTGCCTAGGAAGTGATCTGACGGCCGCGTATGAGAAGGAACCAGCACTGCAGAGAGAAGGAAAACTTGACACAACCCCTATACCAACCCGTCTGGCCAGCGTGGTATAGTAGGCCAAAACCTCCTATCTAAGGAGAGGCCTATGTGCAGCAGTGGACTATTAAAGGCTGTTGATGTGATGTGATAAAGATTTTATAAATCCTACATATTATCCTTTAATTAATTGCGGTATGTATGTATAGTCTATTTAACAGTAGTGCTAAGCGGGTTCGAAACCACGGTCACTCAGAGGACTTGATACGAGTACGTGGAGTACGAACTAACCGTTTCCCTCGGCGAGAGATCGACGTAAAAGCGACACCCGTAATGTAGTACAGTTGTTTGTTATACTACACGAGACAGCCCCATTATGGTGTGCTACGTTTGAACGGGTGAGTTTACTTGCTTCAATAATTTATTTCTAACCTATAAATCTAAATTGTTTTTTTTGTGTCCATTTGAGTAAATTAATACCTGTTTGGATGTACATTTTATTGAAATTAACACTAAAACTGAAGAGTTTAATTTTTTCTAACGCGCTAATCTCGAGAACTATTTGTTCATATTGAAAAATTATTTTAGTGTTGGATAGGTAATTTATCGAGGTAGGTTATAGGCTATATAATATCACGCTACGACCAATAGGAGACAAGCATCAATGAAACATGTTGCAAGAACGAGCTAATTTATTCCTTTTGAGAGACGCACGAAGTTGCGCGGACCAACTAATTAAATAGAAACTGCGTAGTTTTTACTCTATTTCTTCATTCAGGCATATGCCCATTTTTAAATTTACATAGCCCTTAAATAATATATTTTGCTACACTACAAATATATTCTCAAAATAAATAAATTTTCTTACATTTCGATATTTAAAAAGGTAAATATTTATTAAAGTATTAACACGATCACCAGGTATTTAGCATCTTTGAATTGTCAAAGAACGCTAAAGTTAAAAACTTCTAAGTATCGCCTCACCTCCTCGTAATTCGAATAAAGAACAGCTGTTATAAAAAAATCGCACGCTAAACATCGGGGAAAGATTTTATCAGCGATGTTCGGTTCGACCCTAATAAACAACTAGATTTACGAACAAGAGAAAAAAGAATATATTAAAAAAAACCATGATGGCGTCAGCGATAACGGCCAATTAATTTAGCCAACAGTGTACGATTCAATAAGAGATTTTAATTGCTACTAATAAAGGAAATATTTAATTTCCAATATAAATTTGTCTTTTGATATATGCGGAGTCGCGGTACATGCGCGGACGCAGCTTTAATACATTTATCATTCGTAATTTGAATTCGTAATTGCTGTTGATTTTTCATTGCTCATGAAAAATTACGATTAATAAGATATTTACATATGTAATACTATAAATAAGTTTTATACACTTAACTAGAAATATCCCTTATTTGATAACTTGAGTTTAAACGACATATACCTACATGATTTAAAATATGAAAAAAGCCTTGCCGAGTTACTTGAGGCTTCTTCTCAGACTTTTGTAAGTACAAAGCCTCAACAGAAGTACAAACAAAATCACGAACCAAATTAGTTATGTGATTTTAATGATAATAAAGATATTTTTTGAAGTAAAACTTATATTCGCACGCTTGACTTGAGGAGTAAGCTGGTGATTGCGTGACGAGAGCGTTACGAAAACTGTGATCGGGCGAGGCGAACGAAAGTTTAGAGGGAGATATAAGTTAGTGAAGATAGAAAGAGAGTGTTACGTTCGTATATTACTATAGACAAAGAGAGAAATGCAAGCACACATTTCTTTCTCTCTTTCTCTCATAGCCAGTTACGTTTCGTATATCTAAGATACAGTGCAGGCTTATTGTCTGTGTCACACTGTAGGAGCAAGAGAGAGAGCAGTGCGCGCGCACATTTTGAAAGAGAGATGGAGCTAAAGAAGTTTTACTTCAGTCGTGTGGTCTAAAGCACACTCGTATTTTAGTATCGTTGAGTTTTATACATACCATTACTTATTTAAATAAGGTTTCTAAACGAAATACCCAATGTACATTATGCATATCAAGTCTCTACTTCTGTAGTCTGTGTTTTAGAGTATAATAGAAAACAAATGGCTGCGCTCCTTACGGCGATATAATATGGCGTACTAACTAAAAAAAAATATTTGGAGAATTCAAAACTGTACTTTTTAGACAAAAAATATACTGGACCCTTTTTACCGTGGGAGAGTCATGCTTCGGCACGAATAGGCCGGCTCGACCAGAGTGATACCACGGCCTCACAGAAAGCCGGTGTTAAGCAATTCTTTCGTTGTCTTTCACTGACTGAGTGAGGTTACCGGAGCCCAAATCTCCCCCCCGCTGACTCGAGCGGGAGGAAATCCAAAGGCAGCAACGCACTTGTGACTTTTGGGTTGTAGGTGTCCATAGGCGGCGGTAGTTGCTTACCATCAGGTGACCCGTCTGCTCGTTTGCCCCCTTATACCATAAAAAAAAACCTAA